CCCCACTCTCCTCCTCATCGGACAAACGAACCTCTCTCCATTCGTCTCATCCTCCCAAGCCCGCTTCCGAAAACCATCGTCCAAGCCCTCGTCCCCGCTACCCGCGTCCTCCATTTTTGTGTTGCTGCCATTATTACTCCGTTCCACTTCACTTCCACTCATCAGCCCTTTCTCTTTCTTCCATCCAATCCACCTTCAGTCCTTCCCACTCATCCACCCAACCCCGAAATACTGGAATTCACCTCATTCCCGGTCTATAACTCAATCTACAGCTAGCAGAAACAGCGCAACTTGCCGCCGCCCTCGTTGTCATTATGCATACCTTTCCTCGGTCCGTGTATAGTATGTCCAATGTAAGTCCTTCATTTTTTTCCTCCTTACCGTACTGTCATCTCTGCCTCCATTTCATTTATTTTGCGCTTTTTCTACGTCCCTGCATGTCGTACGGTTCTCCTCATGTGACGGGTCCCAATGCTATTCATCCGTTGTATACCTTTCCTATTCCATCCCCGCAACTTTGACTGCTCAGGGTTGTGGGAAATTTGGAGAGGGGGGGGGGGGGTCCAAGCTTCCCGAGATTCGGCGAATTCGGCAAACTACCTCCCTCAACATGCACAGGCAAGACCGGGGCTGGATAGGAAAGAGAACCACGCGAGCAGAAAGGAAATTTTCATCGCTGCCCGCACACCGAGAGGAGCGGCAATTACGGGGCCAGAAAAACTTCTTCGAGAAAAAAGAAAATATCGAACGGTTTCTCGGTTCGAAATTCTACTGCAGAGAGTCAATAATTGGGAACGCCGTCATTCGTCTTTTCTCCTATACCTTTCTGCTTAGACTTCATAGATATGAGCTTGGCAGCCACACGCAATCATAATACGCCGGTGAGCTGAGTTCGATCGAACCCTATATTCGTCCTTCCTTGTTCCTGAGGCGGTGAAGCTTTCGACTTGTGTACAACTTCGGAACTACGAAGCTTGGGGTACCCACGACAGCAATACACGGACTTGAGGATATCACACTTTGTAGCATTACGCCCCTCGATCACGACCTGCGTTAGGTCTGCAAGCTTGTTGCAAGGTTCACGGACCATTGAGTTAGCTTTACGGAATCTCAGGGGGTCACTTTTCTTGAGTCTCTTCCGAACCCCGTCGCTCGTCGTCCCACTGAGAAATTACATTCTCTGCCACACAATCGAGAAATTTGGGTCTCTGAAAATTTCAGTCACCCCACCCCGTCGTCCGCTCGTCCGCCCGTTCGCTCAGTAACACCGCAAGCAAGCGGCTCAATATTCGGCTCCCAAACGTCCACAAAGCTTCTCTCTCGCTCACTTCGTCTCCCTCTCTCCTTCCCACCCTCCAAGACACCCACAACCACCAGCCACTTCAATCTCCTCCCCCGCGACCTCTGCAATCATCTGTCGAGAGCAGCTTTTCAACATTTGCTTTTATACCTTCTTTATTGCTCCCTCGTTCTCTTTTCGTTGGCCTTTTTTTTTTTTCTTTTTTTTTTCTTTTCCAAAATAATCTCCCCTGCACAATCTGTTTTAAAATGGCGCCCTTTACCCTCGGATGTGAACCTATGGTTTTTGTTCACCTTCTACATGACGAATATGCAGAAGGGGATCATCCTGGGGACGACGTTATTGCTGGTGGAATGGCTTCTAATTTCGGGTTTGAACAGATAGAGGACTCTCACATTTGTGTAGTTATGGTAGGACTACCAGCTAGGGGTAAGAGCTTAATTGCTCAAAAAAGTGAGTAAAGAATCATTTTCTAATTCCTCTGTTCTGTCTACCGTGGGCCTCCACCTAAGCCCCAGCACGCATTTGCTAGCTTCTGGGCCGGTCTGAGCGCCTTTGGGATGAAATCTTGCGAGATTCATTATCCCCAGCTTCGCTCCGAATTTTTGAGCCCCTCCAGATGTTTTTCCATTTTTCCCGCTTCCGTTTTTACCGAGGAAGTCGCCTGCTCCCCTGCCCCTACGTTGCCTACCGTAGCACTGTTTCGTATTCGCTACGTCGATAACTCAATTCAAGTATTAATTTTCTGAGATCATTACCTTTTGCTAACCGGATTGTCTATAGTTGTCCGTTACCTGAAGTGGCTCTCGGTTAATGCCAAGTCATTCAATGTCGGTTCCTACCGTCGCGCCGATACCCCACACCCGACTGCCGATTTCTTTGACACTGGGAATGCGGAAGGAGAACGTCTTCGTCGCGCTGCCGCAGAGGCTGCTGTCAATGACATGTTGCGTTGGTTCGAGCATGAAGGAGGGCACGTCGGTATTCTTGATGCTACCAACTCGACCCGTACCCGAAGGGCTTGGATCGAGGAACGTTGCAAGTCTAAAGGCTACGATGTTATGTTCGTAGAGAGTAAATGCGATGATGAAGAGTTAATCATGAACAACATCCTGGAGGTTAAGACTACCTCTCCGGACTATGTTGGGCAAGACCCTGAAGTCGCAGCCCGGGATTTCAGGGATAGGATTCGTAATTACGAGAAGGTTTACGAGACTATCGACGAGCCTCACCTCACTTACGTCAAGTTGATAAATGTTAGCTCTCAAGTCATCATCAATCAGGTGTCGAACTATTTACAAACTCGCATCATCTATTTTGCAATGAACTTACATATAACGCCGCGCTCAATTTGGTTATCACGCGTACGTGGGCTCCTTCCCTGCACTTGTATCTATCATTAACTTCTATTTTAGCATGGCGAGTCTGAGTTCAATGTTCTCGGGAAACTCGGCGGTGATGCTAATCTCTCGCCGCGCGGAATGGCTTACGCAGAAGCTCTACCCGGGCTGGTGAAGGCCTCTGTTGGGGGCAAGGATATCACCCTCTGGACATCAACTATGAAGAGGACTATCCAGACAGCCAAACACTTGACCTATCCGAAGAAGCAGTGGAAGGCTTTGGACGAATTGGATGCTGGGGTTTGCGATGGGTTAACTTATGAAGAGATTGAGAAAAAATATCCCGAGGATTTCCGTGCTCGTGATGATGACAAGTAAGGACTTCTAGGACCCCGGTTCACGGCCTTTGTTAACAGATGGGTTACAGATACAATTATCGCTACCAGGGAGGAGAATCTTACCGCGATGTAGTCATCAGATTGGAGCCTATCATTATGGAAATGGAGAGGGGTTCTGATATTATGGTCGTTACTCACCAAGCAATCCTTCGTTGCATTTATGCGTATTTCATGAATGTGCCTCAGGACCAGTCCCCGTGGATGGAAATTCCTCTCCACACAGTTATCAAGCTTACCCCCCGCGCCTATGGTACTCAGGAAGAGAGGTTGGCACTAAATTCCAATACATCATTTTTGCTAATTGCTGACCTTTCTGCAGATTTAAGGCAAATATCCCCGCCGTATCCACCTTCAGAGCCAAGTATACCTCCGCCAATATGGGCGGCGAAACTCCCGAGAGGGTTAAACCCCCCGTCGCCGGAGCCCAGGCAAACGGAGTCATTACCATTAATGACGATGTTGAATCTGCCCCTCAAAAAGGGCGCGCCGTCTCCGTTGTCGAAAGTCTAGGACTCAATGGCGATAAACCCGCCGTGGAGTAGCCTCCATAGTTGTGAACTAGTGAAAATTCCAAGGGATCTAATGTACTTTACTCACTGATTCTTTTCCTTTCTTTTCCTTTCTTTTTCCTTTCCCTCTATCCTCTTTTCTCTTGATTCATATTTGGTTGGGTAAAAATGCTTTGGGAATACAGATGAAAAATCAACAACACGAGTGGGATGAAGTTGACGGTTTATGACTGCCGTTTTGTCGGATGCTTAGATAATTGGGAGTTCTTATTTCTTTCTTTGCGGGTCTGGGTGGAGGCGTCTTTTTCTACTACCACCTGTGCTTAGTCTACTGCCGTTTCGCGGCAGAAAGGGCCCTTTTCATATTCTTAGCCATACCCTTTGATCATGTATAGTTACCGTGTGTGCGCGAGCGGGGATCGCGTTTAGGTTGAAATGCAAAGTTATAATGATACCGATATTATACCATACCACGCTTTTTTAAAGTACTGTACAGTGCAAGCATGATATACCGGTACCTGCAGAGAGGACGCGAGACACCGCCATGCTTGATTACTGGTACTGCACCGCAGACTACCGTATTTTACGCTAGAAACACTGACGACGAAAGAACCTGGGGTACTTGTGGTCTTCCACCTGATCAATAGTGGAGCTTTCCAAACCATTTGACCACTCGTACCGGTAGACTATATTATGACCGAATGGGTGAGCTTGATGCGCTCGTGCTCGCGCTGTATGATACCGGCAACCCACCGGTAAAGTAAGCGACGTCACTAATGACCCTCGGTAAGTATCATAATATGTACTTGCACTGTAAATATCTTGGCACCTGGCACTACGGCGCTTCAATCACATGCTGGTTCAACACCACATTATTACCCCGGATTCAGACCCTCGAACTACCCGGTAATAAGGATAGTTTAAGGTTCCCCTTCTCCCTTCTGCACCGGCTGCATAATACAGTATACTGGTGCAGGTCTGATTCGACTCCTCTCCCCATTCCCTCCGCCCATAGCTTTCGCACCCTCGACAATCGCCCATGGCCGCTCAGTCGAAACTCCTGCTGCGGTCCGATCGATCACTCACCCATCTCCTCTCACATCTCACCTCCCTCTACGCAAGACACCGGACAAAGATCTCCCGGGGGGTCTACCTAACGCTATTCGTCGCGCTCGTCAATCGTGTCCGCAATGCCATCAACGAACAGAAGGCTGCCGCCGCTCGACAAGGGGGCCACCATCCCCAACCCACCCCGGAGGCTCCCGACGCAAGGCGAAGGAAGAAGGTAGAACTAAACCGCGAGTTCTTCCAAAACCTATTCAAGTTGTTGAAGATCGTCATCCCGGGCGTGCGGAGTAAAGAGCTTCGGTTGCTGGTCAGTCATACTTTCTTCCTCGTCGTGAGAACATTGATAAGTTTGTACGTCGCCGAGCTGGACGGGAAGTTGGTTAGCGCTCTCGTGCGGGGCAAAGGGAGGGATTTCTTTTTGGGGATCGCCTGGTGGATGGTGGTGGCGGTTCCGGCGACGTTCACGAACTCGATGCTGTCGTACCATCAGTGCAAGCTGGCATTGCAGTACCGGACCAGATTGACGCAGTACATACACTCAAAGTACTTGTCGCAGATGACTTTCTACACTTTGGGAAATCTGGATGATCGCATAAAGAACGCGGATCAACTCATCACGGTTGATGTATCGAAATTTTCGAACTCGCTGGCGGAGCTGTACTCCAACCTGGCGAAGCCGGTGCTCGATATGATGATCTACAATTACCAGCTGTCAAGGAACGTTGGCGGGGAGGGACTGTTTGCTATGGCTTTGCTCGTCCAGGTTTCTGCGAACGCTATGAGGGTGCTCACCCCGCCGTTTGGAAGATATGTTGCGGATGAAGCGAGATTGGAAGGAGAGTACAGGTTCAGCCATTCGAGATTAATAGATAATTCTGAGGAGGTGGCGCTCTACGGCGGGCATGACGCTGAGAAGACTACGCTGGATAAGGGGTACTTCACGTTGATCAAGCATGTGAACTACATCTTGCGAAGACGGTTGTATCATGGGATGATGGAAGACTTTGTCATCAAATACTTCTGGGGAGCTTTGGGACTTATGCTATGCTCTGTGCCGGTCTTCTTCAAGGTTCCTGGTGCTAGAGGAAATTCGTTGGGCGATCGCACCGAAAGTATGAATACCTGGGGCTCGACATGATTGAACCCTGGCTGATTTCTATAGGCTTTGTCATCAATCGTCGCTTGCTGTTATCTTCTTCGGATGCCTTTGGAAGAGTCATGTTCTCTTATAAGGAGATTACCGAACTGGCCGGTTATACCTCGCGAGTATCTGCTCTTCTGAATGTCATGGAAGATATCCAGAACGGCCATTTCGAGAAGAAACTTGTTTCCTCCGCAGGCACCGAGGAGAATGCAGCTGTGCTCCGCGGGCGTGGGAGAGTTACGACTGGTCCGGATATCGAGTTTACCGATGTTCCTATTGTCTCTCCTAATGGTGATGTCTTACTCAAGAAGCTATCGTTCACAGTAAAGTCCGACGAGCATCTCCTCATCGTTGGCCCCAATGGCTGCGGTAAGTCCTCGCTTTTCAGAATTATGGGAGGCTTATGGCCTGTCTATGGCGGAACTGTTCGCAAGCCACCCAGCGAGGAAATCTTTTACATTCCGCAGAGACCATACCTTAGTCGTGGAACACTGCGACAGCAGGTTATCTACCCTGATAGCAGACTTGAGCAGGTTCGTCGAGGCGTGACGGACGAGGCTTTGTACGAGATTCTGTGTGTGGTTGAGATTGAGAACTTGGTTGAGAAGGAGGGCGGCTGGGAAGCTGAGAAGGAGTGGCGTGACGTCTGGAGCGGCGGTATCCAGCAGCGTGTTGCCATGGCCAGACTGTTCTATCATGCACCCAAATAGTACTCCCCTCTTGCTCGGTCCAGCACCATGCAGGGCTAATCCTTTACAGTGCCATCCTAGACGAATGCACCTCATCTCAAGACTTGGAAACAGAGCGCATCATGTACGAGACGGCAAAGGGCTTAGGAATCACCCTCATCACTGTCAGTCATCGTAGAAGTCTGTGGAAATATCACGCCAATATTCTACAGTTCGATGGTCAGGGTGGATACGTGTTTACTAAGTTGGATGCGGAGAAGAGGTTAAAGCTTGAAGACGAGAAGGAAGAGATTGAAATCCAGCTCAGAGCCGTGCCGGATATCGAGAAGAGGATCGCAGAGTTGGAGGCCGTCGTCGCGGAGAGAGAGTAGGGCGAGCTGCACATTGGGGAGCTATTGTACCCTGTTGGGTTGTATCTCAAGGCCTGGGTCTTAACTACGTTTATTGAGCTAGAAGTGATCAAGGTTTTTACTTCGAGGGTTCCTATTCGTCCTTTTTTTTTTCCTTCTTCTTTTTTTTTTTCTTTTTCCATGCATCCATTACGGCGCATAGAGGTATTACATCTCTCTACTCTAGAAGAAGGTGGGACTAAGGTTGGAGGCTTGCATCAAGCTTGAGTGAGCTGGCAGTGGGGTAAAGGTCAAATGGTCTGGTTGGCAGATGTTGCTGCTGGGGGGCAGCAGGCGGGTAGGATATGGTACACAAGAATAACAGAGTTAGAATCTCGGGTGACGAAGGGGGGTGGGAATGTTATATAGGGAAGGCAGATTGAGTGTGGCTTCGAACCCCCCATCTGGGGGTGCTCGGATCCGCGGGAAGCCTATATATGACCCTGTGATCCTCCTCCTCTATCTCTGGTTGATATCTTGGAAGATTCGATAGAGTAGTCTATTCTTTCTACAAACATCTAAGGATCGACCTGGGGCTCCCTAATGGTGGCCGGACCGGAAAAATGATTTTCCGCACCAATAAGCACCCCTTTCCGCAATCAAAAGAAGAATGACATTCCCAGAAACCAGTGGTCTACCGGCATCTCTCTCTGGCCTGGTTACCAGGTCTGTTACAGCTCACAGACCCCCGGGTTTCCTCAACCCTATGGACGGCTAACATGGCGATGAAGCTCATCTGAAATCCATGAGATGGGGCTCATCTGCTCGGGATCCAGATGCTAGCACCGCCACACAGCTCATCCCTCCTTCGTACCGCCACGGCTCAACGGGGTCTTGGGTCGAACTACTCGAGTACTCACTCTCTTCTAAACTGCCGCCTTCGCACCGATTCCCTCGTTGCACAGCTGGCTCGAATCAGAGGCGACCACGCAAATTTACCTGCAACTGGGATTTCCTGCATTTGTCTGTCCTCCCCTCCTTCTTCCCCCATCGCCCCCTTCCTTCGCCCGTTCCATCGCCCAGAGTTATCAATCTATGCCACCATGCTACACCCTCCCTCCCCTCCCCTCCCCTCCCCACCCATGCCCTTGCGCCCCTCCCCCGCCATCTGATGCTGCGTCCTCCCCCCGCCTTTTGGGTGACGTGGGTTTGCATCGCCCGGAGTCGCGCCTGCCCTGTGGGAAAGGGCTTCGATCGAAGAATTGAGGTTGCTCCTGTTGACGTATTCATTCTTTGCAGGCACCCACCCCCTCCGTCGTAATACGTGATATCGCCGTGGCACCATCCCCGTTGCAGATATCGTCCATCGTCAGCCCGTCTGGCCTGCTCCATTGCCAACGCATACTTCTAGTATCGTCACCACTACCACACCTTCCACCCCGTTCTCCCCTTGCTCGTTCCACTAGACATCATTGCATTGGGGCCTTGCCGGGTGGACTTGGCCTTCCCTTCCCCCACGATCAATTCGAGGGTGTGGATGAACGGGCAATTGCTGTGCTGGCGCGCTCTGTTTGGTCCGAGACGAGGATTGAGGTGATAACGAGACCTAGTTTCCGGGAGGGTGGTGGGCAAGGGAACTGAGGGCTGGAGAGGGGGGAAGGAAGGAGGAGGATACGGAGGAGGATACGGGGGAGGAGGAGGAGGAGGAGGAGGAGGGAACGGTCCTTTATCTAAGCTGGGGGTTTCGCCCTTTACTCTCGTTTTTTTCCCATCATCAATCGCACGTTCTTTGCCAACGCAAGCTTTCTATCCATCTACCGATCCATTATCCACCCTACCCTATACCATCAATCCACGTAATACTCTGCAATGGCTTCAAGACTTATCAAGGAGGATGCACTCATCAGGAAGGACCGATTCAAGCGTGCTGGTGCGTTGTCTTTCCGCCGACCCATTACCAGTCCGTTCCTCATGCTAACGATCGGGGGTGAAACAGATGAGGCCCGTCAAACCCTCACACAAGAGCTCCACACCCTCGGGGCATCCGTTGATATGGAGCTCCGTGAACGCATAACCAACATTCACTCCAATGCCAATGCTCTTGAGAGTCAAAGCAAGACCTTGAGGAACCGCACCGCTGCTCTCGGGAAGACTACCCGTCAGTGGAGTGGCATGGCAGATGGAGCTAGAACCAAAATCAAGGTTTGCTCTCACCCCTTCCCGTACGCCCCCGGCACAGTTTGCTGATTTGTGCAGGAAATTGGGGACGTCCAGAACTGGGCGGAAATGATCGAGCACGATCTCCTTCTCATTGAAGAAACCCTTAGAATTGTCCATGAGGATGAACTTGAGGACGATGATTCCTAAATTATTTCCTCTTTCACGACGCTCACGAGACTTAAAAAAAAAACTTGACAGCTTCTTCTGTATATTTCCGTTTTCTTTGTTCTTTTTTTTTTCTTTTTTTCTTCCCTCCACTATCCATACTTTACAGGCGGGTAGTAGTGGTGTGTTCTCTGTTTGTAGTTCCTATTTTACTCTGGAGTTGACGTCGGTATTTTCCTTTTCCGGAAAAGTACGTATTGCCGCTCATTGGTTCGCTTGTTTGCTCCTCTCTCTCTTTCTCTCTATCTCAAAACCTGGTGCACGGGTGTGTGGGTGTGTGGGTGGGTGGGTGGGTGTGCTGCTGTTTCAGATATTTGCTGGCCGATGATGATGATGGTGATGGGCGAGATTACGGCAGGGTAGGTAGGGCATATCCGGACAGGGGAGCGGAGCGGAAGGGAAACGTGGGGGAACGGATAGGGAGAGGGGAGAGGGGGGGCCTTATTAATAGGTTTTAAATATATTTTTAATTCCTTTTTTTCTAGTGTTTGGGACTATTAATATCGTAGCATGGGCCTAGGAAGTGAGCAAATGAGGTTTACAGGTGCTTGAACTATGTGAACTAGGATATGGCATTTTAATTATTGTATGTGATTCACTTTATGTGGGATGGGGGTGTTGGATGACTAGCGTAGAGGACGGAAGGATGAGCGGAAGGGAGTTGGAGGGAGGGAGGAGCGGGGAGCGTGGCTAGATGAGTACTTGTTTTCTTTTGCATCTTCTCATAATGTGGCTAGGTTTGTCAGGTCATATCCCTCAGGTTCCCGCTGATTGTGCCATCAGTGGTCCCCCCCACCCATCGCAATGTCCCGTGGAGGCACTGCCGTACCGGAGTAATTACTATGCCCTGGCGAGCATATATCCTCCTCGCAAATACCGATTTTGTCTCGATCTTTCCTATTACTCCACTGCATATTATATATATATATATACGCATATATATGTACCTCCTTCAGCATTTTTGCCCATGTCCTTTACTTCACCCCATCTCGCCCTTTCACCCTTCCGCTTCGGGTTGAGCCCTGCCCCCACGCTATAACACCTTTAGGAGCATAGTCGGGAAACAGCGGGAAAGAAATAAAAGGGCATTCTCCCTCCCTTTTTCTTAAGTCTCACCACACTCCATCATCCTCCACCGGTCTTGCTAGCGCTGCTCTCACTCCTGCAGTTCAGCGTCCAGAAAGGGAAAGAAGATATGTAAGTTGGTGGAATGAATGGGAGTTTGTCAGGAGCTAGGATATTGTACAGTACAGCAAGTATCATCCGACTCTCTCCTTAGGGCCGTTTATAGTACTAATATGGTTTTCAGCGATTCTCATGCATTTCCTTCCTTTAAACCTACCTACCTCATCAACGGGGGTACTACACGGCGTTGCATCATAGCAGCGGGAAGCGATTTATTTCCACGCCTAGCTGGGTGTTCTTGACTTGACGAACAATACACTCGGCCCGTACCGGCCCATCACCCCAGCTGGGTGGTGAGTGATGACTACGCCCTCCAAGGAAGCGGGGAGAAGGTCTGGTGGGCAGAATGGATTCATTTCTGTTCTGCCCCCCTGCCTCGCTATCCCCTTGGCTCCTGTCATGGTCATGACTATTAAAGTACATTTAAGAGCATGCCGCAACCTATCACATATCGCAGAAGTTGAGAGGATCGAAGCTTTGACGGAGAAAGCCCGAACAGCGCTTTGTTTTTTCTTCAAGACGAAGGTAAGCGCTCCCCCTCCTTTCCATAGACTCTGCTAGTACCGCTACTAACAAGGTGATCACAGAATAGAGCTACTGGCCAGTCTCCGCCCCCACGCGCGGCCTACCCTACCATAATGAGGATCCCCAAACGCCCACGTCTATACCTTTTGGGATATCAAGGGGATACAAAACTCTAGGAAAGTGCGAGGAAACGCATGTCAATTCCCGCCGGAACCCCCGAAAATTCAGATGGTATAGTCACCTAGACACTGCGAGTGAGCGGATATGATTCTCCCGATAGCGCCGTTCTCGGGATTCGTACCATGGCCGCTCATGTTTGACACATAAACGTTGGCCCCCCTCCCCCTAAACTTATCCAAACCATTCCACCAGCCCTTGGCTCATAGGTTCAGCCACGCCTCTGCTTGGATCAGCTCATAATTCATGGAAACCAAGCAAGCAAGCAAAAAAATAAAATAAAAAATACCCCATCTTCCCCTATCACTGGACACACTTCTAATTCCCACCTTGACCACGCCCTCACAATAACACCCACTAGCCTAACAACTGCGCGCAGAACAATCAGAAACAGGTCGCAATTAGCCCAGATCGCCTTTCGAGCAACTCCTAGTATTCACCCCCCCTTGGTCACGGTGACCAAGCGTGGCGGCCCAATGAGCTTATGAAGGACATGAAAATGATGGGCTAGCCGAGTTCTTGTGCTCACATTTACCAGTTTAAAGTTAGCACTGGGACGAGCACTAGAAACGAAACGCACCACTCCTCCTGACTGGGAGGATGGGAGATCTCCTTGAATTAGGATCTTCGGGGAGTCTCTCGATAGCTGTATTTTCCGCAGCTAAATTTTGGGCTCAGCACCGCATCCAATTTGGCAGGGCAGAGCCCATGGGGTTTCTCCACCCACAACACAGGGTTAGGGTCAGAACCATTATCAGCGATCACCAACTCCCCAAGAGGATATACCATTACTTGGAATCACTGGTGCGAGTATTTCTAGGAGTGAAACTCGCTCGATTTTTGGAGGGACGGAAGGAGAAGAGAGGCACTAGATGCAGGGAGGTCGTACGAGCAATCTCTTGACCCAAACCCTCCCACCTCACCACAAACGACATCACCCACTTTCAATATCTCTAGTCCTAGATCTGCGAGAAAGAAACTACCCCATGCTATCCCCTCCCTACCCCCCCTCCCCCTCAAAGGGAGGCCGGGGAAACTCAATCACACCCAACACAGTCCTCACCATATCCTTCTCTGGTCGGCTTTGTTCTCACCACCACGAAAAAGAGGTGGATTCATGACAGATCACCAGGGGCTTCTCCCACTACCGCATCACTTCATGGATACCATAGACGCTTTTGAGTCTGCTCTCTTGCCGACGGTTTCAAATCCATGTAAACTCAAGTTCGCTCTCTTGGGCCCTCGAATGCGTGGGATTCACCCGCAGCACGGGGGTAGGAACTAGCGGTGGAAGAAGTGGGCCAGTGAGTGAGGGGGTGCCGGACACCCGGATATTTAGGTATCAACGAGGTTGAGTGATAGCCCTGGTTATCCAGAACCAAGATATCACGATCCTTCTCAGAGAATTTCTGCTCCATAGAGTAATCCCCAAGACTGCGTTCTTCGGTCAGGAAAGAGAAGTCACGGAAAGCGAAATCCTCCTCTCTCCCGCGGGACTTTGATGGCGCACTGCTTTGCCTCCCCATTGCATTCAGGGGATGGAATCCAAACTGGTGTCACCCACGCTTCACCAGCAGAAAGCCCTCCCCAGCAAGACTATCGCCCAGGGAAGGAGAAGTCCTGCTAACGTACAGCTTTACCCTATTTTCTTTTCTCCTGCAACAAAGCGCGAGTGGAGGATTCTTTCTAAAGAAGCGCAGTTTCATGTTTGCCCACTACCTACATGATAGGGTAACCATGGATGCCAAACTCAAAGCACTTCCTGGATGATCTATCATGCTGTTATCCAGCTTCGGGGCAACACCTATCCTACCTCGCGTATCCGAAGAGAGGGATATGCGTGACTTGTTGAGAGAGGCGGTACGTGGATTCTCCGGGTGGGGAGAAGGGGTAGGATTTGTTGTCTTTTCTTTCTAAGACTCCTTGCATTGTGAATTTGTGAGGAGGTTTTGCGAGTGACTGCCGGTGACGAGAAAGGCATATCTAGTCTAGCATATGAGTATGCAAACACTTGGGATGTTTCTCAGGCTTTATAACGGATCCGGAGAACACACCCGAGCCTCCCTGGTGTTCACCGTCCTCCTTTGGCCCATATCGCTCGTCGGTCTATTCTCATGTCAATTCACCCCACCAGACCGCTTGTCCCCCCGTCCCACTATACCCACCCCCCTGAATGTACACGGCAAAACACAAGATCCGTGCGCAGAAGCTGTATCACACCCTCGACACTCCGAGTCATTACGGTCAAATCAATACTCCACGAAACTCCACCTTCATACTTGCACTACCAGTATTTAAGTTACAACCTCGTTCAAGCCGCGCAGCCAATACTTCATTCCCCAGCGGCAAAAGCCAAGGAAGGAAAGGGGTAATGTCCTGAGAGTATGGGCTCCTGAGACTGGGGAGAGTGAAAATAGTAGGATGGGCGGATACGAAAGCGCGGTTGGAGATCGGAGAGTGCGACGTTATCCTCCAATATCGTGACTTTCTTTCCTTAGGGCAGTTGCTGCATTTTAGTGCATGAGAGGATGTGGCTCTCAGCGCACTGTCAGCGGAATAACCCCTAAGAAGGCACAGTAGGATGGGGAGGAAGGTGCTCCACCCAGAGCACCCTTCCTGGTAATGATTGTGTTCGGAAAGGAGTCATTGCGAATCCCAATAAATACACTCCGGCCCAGACTTTGCCAAGCTTCGACTTCACACCCGCACAGAGTCACAACCCGTCTATAATCCAGCACCCTACCTCTCCCTCTTTCGGAAGATCTCGGCTGGGAAAACTAAAGTGGGTTCAATGTCCGGATAACATTGGGTTCCAAAAGAGGGAAAAATCAGGCTAGACTTATACGAATGTGGGATTAGGAACCGGAAAGAGCACGATGCTATTCTCTCGTCTAAGTACCCTCTACCCTTTGGCGGCAGCAGGTGTGAGGGTGCCGCCCCCGGCCCGGTAGTGTGATGGTAATGATCAGGTTCAGAAAGAAGTGTTACGAACCCTACCCCAATATATTCTGATCTAGGAATCACAAAGCCTATGGCTCACATCCGCGTCGAGCCATAGCAGCTATAATTGCATTCCAAACCGTGAAAACCGCAACACTCTATACCCTCACGACACCCGAAAGAGTTAAAGAAGCAGCACAACCCCCTGGGAATACTGGGCCCCCGGGACACACGGAGAGTAGAAGTGGATGTCATGCCCTTAAACGGCTGTACGGATGGATGACAACAGGCCAGTTGGATACGGTCGCGGCATTAGGGTCGGGAAGAGCACGACGTTATTCTCTTGCCCCTTCACCCTCTCTCCCAACCTCTTGTGACTATGGTGGCATCGCCCCCAGTGCCCTGCTGGCGGTCCTGGTGGACTGATGGGCGGAAAGAAGAGGAGGAAGGTTTGCTACCCCTTACACCTTGGTGTCGTAGGTATAGTGTACGGGAGAGGGCGTTTTTCAAGGACACGTGCACATTATCTCCCTAGCCTTGAAGATTGACTACCAATTGGGTAGGCTCTCCCCAGATCCATAATTTGTTGTAATTTCACTAACGATGCGCCGAACACTAGATACGATATTTGCTATGAGATTCTTTCCATGATTGCCATTCTTGACGCCGAGATACAACAAAGGAGCATTATGCTCCTATTTACAACATCTTCATGCACAACACCCCGAATCGAGCCCGACACCAGTGGCGGACCAGGCTTGGTATCTGGGACACACATTCCTCATCCCGAACCGTCTACCGAGCAGCGACCGCCCACCCAGACGGAGGCGTTGGAAACCCCCGGACTGTCACCACCGCTCCTTTCCGATCCTATCTCGCACTCACCTATGACCCGCACCGCCATCCGGGCTGAACTTAGCAAAATATAGTCAAGCAACTCCCAGAGAGCCACAAGTGTGCCCCGCTACAGATGGCCTCAGGACATTGTTGGACTTTCAACCGATACTATATATACCCCTCGCCGTGCCTCAACGACATCAACGACTCCCGAAGGCTTATTGTGAAGGGGGTCTCTGACAGTTACTCTGGGAAAGAGTAAATTTTGTTTTCTCGGCTTTTCTTGCTTGTTCAAGAGAACTCCTACCGACCCGTACTTCCACTCTGCCCAGCATGAACTCCCCCCCATGGGTAGCATAGGTCGCGACCCAGCGGATCGAGACTCATATGGTCAACACCATTGCCGCTTGATGGAGGGTGTTTATTTCAGTTGACCAGGACGTTCATGCTATGTCCCGCGGTATCTTTTACTCGGGGAGGCAGCGTGCTTGTGTCCTCTGGTGAAGGGCGTGCACCGGCGACGGAGCCTGGATCTATCCTGAAGCGCTCGTTGCTTCTTCCATGAGGCCCCTGGGATCTGTGATCTATATATATATATATCGATTCCTTCTCCAAGATTCTCTGCCGGGCCACAGTTTTCTTTATTTTGCAGAAATGCGACCTGTTGCGCTGAGGGTTAGGCCCTTGTCTGGCCTACTGTGGAATCACCCTGCTGTTCAGGCCGTGCGATGCATCCTACTCCTCCCTTGTCACCTTCCTTCATAGCCACCTCTGCCCCCGCAAGCACGAGTGTCTCTTAGTCCTACCTGTGGATACCGGGCATCGGACAGAGAGACCTTCTTCCCTTTCGATCAAGATTCAAATTTCCACCTATACGAAACTTTTATAAAAGGCATACCTGCTTTCCTAGCCCAACTCTCGAGCCAAACCCAAACGAGGGAGTCAGGTTGGTCACGGCTCCAAGATATAAACCCTGTAACCACCGTATGTTTACTAACAACGCAATTCGTGACAGGTCCTATCCTACATTCCTCCATCGGGGTTTATCCCTCCAGGAGAGCCACACCTCACGCTTAACGATAACAGGCAGGTGTTATATTCTCCTCTCAACATCTCCAGTCTGCGTTTCTGCCGCATACCCGGCATCTCAACATTGTGACTGCGAAATGGTTGGGCCTAGGACTCGCGGCGATGTACTTCCGTACCTGATATTGGGTATTATCACTATTTTGTGGCTCGCTATTCAATTCTTGCTCGCCTTTTCCTGTTGTCTGCTGCCGAGGACAGGCCAGATCGCGGCGAATAACCCCAAGTGGTTTGGGAAAGGAGGGGTCGGAGTCTTCCCTAAAGCCACCGCCTATCTCCAAGTCCACGGGCCCGAGCGCAAGCGTTCGCGAGAGGGGCGTATACACAAAGTAATACCAAAGTACCAAAACCACCGAAATCCCAACGGCATAGAAGACCCCGAGCAAGAAACTTCTTGGTACAAACATCAGAAAGCGCAACGCTTTCCCACCACAGCTCAGCACCCATCCGGAGCATCGCCGGAGCCACTCTGGGCCGAGTTACGCAGAGGTAGCTCCTTGTCGGCCCGAACGTCCAACACAAGCATATACCGTCACTCGCTCATTCACTCCAAAATATATACACTGCTTAAGTTAAGACATGGTTCAGGACGCCATCAACTCGCGGTCCGGTTTACAAAGAGCTTCTTTTCCCACCCAGCTTCCGACATCCCATACCTCTTAGAGAGCCCATCTCTTCTGGAAGTCTTGCCCATTTTCCTCCCCCCTCACCCTTTAGTAGCTGGCTTTCGACAATTCGCACGTGCTAGAGTTGTGTCCCACATTACCCGTAGGGGGAGGGAGATTTCACGTGTACGGAGGGGTTGAGAAAGCTATCTTGTGGATCGCCCAACTCAAGCTCTTTCCGGTCGAGTACCATAAGCTGTCTGTCGGTAATAATCCGATGGCGAGCACGACAGATCCGCGCGTCATATTCTGAAGCAAATCATGTCTGTCATCAAGCTTCCTGTTCTAGCAGCACACTGTGCAAAATCCGAGAAACCAGAATAACGACCGACCCAGTCTCACCAAAAGTGTGGGCTATCACCACCCCAACTCCTTTTTCCAAATACCGTACTGAGACAACCCCTCCGCGCGCGCTGTAGAACGTATCTATGCAGTATCGTACCAAACCAAACCAAACCACGACCCGAAGTACCGTATATGGCGCAGCACGAAAAAGAGAAACACCCTCAGTTGCACCGAACGAACGAACCAACAACATCTCCCCTCCCCTCCCCACGCCAGCCCTTTAATACTCTGAATCAAATCATCGCGAGGAGGGGTTCTTGTCCGGTCTTTTGAGTACCGTACCGTACTTGTATAGTGTTGTATGTACTTCAATCAAGTGTATTTCAAAAAAAAAAAAATTTAAAAGAAAATCCCCTTTCTCTTCTTCCTTTCCCTCTCCCTCTCTCCCTCTCTCTC